CATTTGGGAGCCCAGAGTTGCGAAGATGTCTCAGGCGAAATTGGCCAGACCACCTCGCGCGCGGCATCTCGCAGAGTTGGGGAGGATGTCTCAGGCGAGAATGTCTGAAATAAGTTTTTCCAGATCACCTCGCGCTCGGCATGTCTGAGCCAAGAGTTGCGAGTATGTCTAAGGCGAAACGGGCTGGACATCCTCAGGTTAGGGGCGTATCTGAGCCCAGAGTTGCGAGGACGTCTCAGGCGAAATGGACTGGACCACTTCGCGCGTGGCATCTTGGATCCCAGAGTTGCGAGGATGAGTCAGGCGAAATGGGCCAGGCCACATTGCCCCTGGCAGCTCGGAGCCCAGAGTTGCGAGGAACTCTCAACGCAACGCAGCGCAATGGGAAGTGACGCAACAGAAATGCAATCCCATGCGTTGTAATGCAATGCCATGCAATGCCATGCAATGCAATGCAATGCAATGCAATGGCATTCCATGCAAGTGCAATGCAGCATATGCAAAACGCAAGTGCAGATGGGCATGAGACAGAGGCTTCCACTGTGGGGGATGCGGGATAAAAAGAGAGAGAGAGAGAGAGAGAGAGAAAGAGAGAGAAAGAGAGAGAGAAAGAGAGAGAGAGAGAGAGAGGGAGAGAAGGAGCGCGATGAGGAGGATGTGGAGTTGTTTTCCAGGTCTCTCCGTGCAACTTGGCATGAACCACAGTGCAACACCAGTAGCAGGAGGCGGGGCTGGCAACAGGATCAAGCACATCGGAAGCGAACTTAGCAGGAACACGACGAGGGCCACCGAAAGCCGCCGAGGGCCGCCGAAGGCCGCCAGGGGCTGCCGAAAGCCACCGGCGGCCGCTGAAGGCCGCCGAGGGGCGACGAGGCAGAGGAGGGGGAGGAGGAGGAGGAGGAGGAGGAGGAGGAGGAGGAGGAGGAGGAGGAGGAGGAGGAGGAGGAGGAGGAGGAGGAGGGGGAGGTGGAGGGGGAGGAGGAGGAGGAGGAGGAGGAGGAGGAGGAGGAGGAGGAGGAGGAGGAGGAGGAGGAGGAGGAGGAGGAGGAGGGGGTGGGGAGGAGGCGGAGGAGGTGGAGGAGGAGGGGGAGGAGGGAGGAGGAGGAGGAGGAGGAGGGGGAGGGGGAGGAGGCAAGGAGGAGGAGGAGGGAGAGGACGAGGTGCTAGTAGGACGTGAAAAGAGGAAGGAAGGGGAGGAGGACGAGGAGGAGGAAGTGGAGGAGGAGGAGGAGGAGGACGACGAGGAGGAAAAACAAGACCAGCAGCAGGAGGCGGAGCTGACAATTGGATCAAGCACATCTGGAGCCCACTTAGCAGAACAGAAGCCCACTTAGCAGGAACACGACTTACTTCCAGAATCAAGACATCTGATGCCCGTGGATGGCCACGGCGGCGGCACCAGCGGCTGCGACGACGACGACGGAGCCGTCGACGACGGCATGCGGGATCGCGCGCGCGCGAGCTGTTCCGACTTGGTCCGATCCAAGGCCTGATCCAACAGGGAGGCCGCAGAGCGGGTCCAACCCAGGCCGCAGCAGGCCCTTACCTCATGGCCACTCCGAAAAAAAACCATGCACAGGCTTGTCATTGGCCGCTTTCTGCTCCGATGCAGGGACCGATCCCGGGCCCTGGGGGCCAACACAAATTACTGGGGATGTAAGACTGGTGCTCTGTATGTGGACGAGAGCTCGGGAAACCACGTACTCGACAACACAAAGCCCGCCGCTCCATGGCGTGATCCATCGTAGACGTTCTGGAGCGGATCCCCCCCCCCAACACTGCCATTCGAAGTGCAGTGGAGGCCCCTCGTGGTGGTGTGGTGCCTTTTTCGGGGCGAGAGGCCCTTGCTCGACGCACACCCACTCTCCAGCTCGAGACGGGCTCGTTGACCTCCTCGCCGGGGGCGGCAACCCTGGTGACAGCGGTGCTCCTGGCCAACCGGCGACGTGTGATTCTTGCTCGCCCGTGGCCCTCCCAAGTGTATAGGCTCCCCCCCCCCCGATCCAGTTCTGATGGCATAGAAGGGGCCCGAAGACGGCCCCGAGAGGCCCAAAGGAAGGAAAAACGCCCAGGTCGAGAACACCGACCCTCCCAATTAAGTGTAGGCTCCCCCCCCCAAGATCCAGTTCTGATGGCATAAAAGGGGCCCGAGGACGGCCCCCAGAGGCCCAAAGGAAGGAAAAATGCCCGGGTCGAAAACACCGATACGCCCCTAGGCGTTTTTCCTGGAAAATTCGCCCCCCCGAGATGGACCAGGTCGAAAAACGCCCAGGCCCATCTCGGGCGCCCCTCCGTCTGGGAGGGCGGCTCTCGCCCAGCGCGGGAGGCACGCCCGCCTCCGGCCCCCCGGGAGCACGCCGCGGGGCGGCGCCCCGGATGCAAGGGGGAGCCTCTGCTCCCCTGGCCCCCTCTCGGGGGCGGGGCCCCGGTCACGGGCCCTGCTCCGTCCAGCCCACGGCTCCCCGGGCAGCCACGAGGGCCCCTGGGAGCCGTGCCCCGGCTGGCTCCTGGGCCGCTCCTCGCGGCGCCCGTCCTGGACGGCCCCGGGGGCCCCCGCAGCGCTCTGGGCCCGGCGTTGCTGCTGGAGCGCACCGCAGAGACGAGAAGAGCCCCGAGGAGCCGCCAGAGGCTTCCAGGAACCTGGGCCGTGCGTTCTTCCACGGCGCCGGGCGCGGGGCCCAGACATCCGACGATGTGATGCGTTCAATCCGCGGCCGCAGCGCTCCAAACCGCTTCCCCGCGGTTGTGCTCCACCCTGGATCCCGCATGATGTTCCCGTGGCCGGACATAGAGGTCCTGGGGTCCGAAATGGAGGAAGCACGCAATGACTCAACGGTTTACGTCGTCGGACATCTGGGCGTCAGAATTCTCCGCCGTGCGTTCTTCCACGCCGCCAGCGGGGTAGGGACAAGGAGGACACGCACCACCACCACCACCACCACCATCACCTGCTGGAGGGTGGAAACACAGGGTGGTCAGGGGTGGTGGTGGTGGTGATGACGTGTACAGATTCGGGGGCTCTCGCGGGCAATCATGCACATCTGCATCCCGCATATGAGCTCATCTAGCTCCCTCCACAGGTGGTGGTGGTGGTGGTGGTGGTGGTGGTGGTGGTGGTGGTGGTGGTGCGCCTCCTGTTCCCAATTTGGGGGCCCGGGAACCTTGTGGTGGCAGACCGCGTGGTAACCTCGAAATCCCGAAGGACCTCACCGCATGGTCCGCAACCGCTGGGTCCCCGGAGGCCCCCGTCGCCCGAGGAACCCCCGGAGACCGACCCAACCCCCAAAACCGTGCGGCGACCCACCACGGGGCCGACCTCGAGGAGCAGCGCCCGGACTGACAAAAAAAAATCCCGGCGAAGGACCCAACCATGAAGCCCCCTATGGGGCAACGAAGCGCTGCACTGGGTGGGGGGAACGCTGTACTGAGTGGGTGGTGTGCCACATTGGGTTTCCTGGACGCATGCGGACGCTCCCACTGGGCGCTTCGGTGGAGCTTCCTATGGGGCCACGAAACGCTGTAATGGGTGTACGAAGCGCTGTACTGGGCGGGTGAAAATGCCACATTGGGTTTTCGGGACGCATGCGGACGGAGGCAATGAAGCATTCGGTGGAGTTCCCTATAGGGCCACGAAGCGCTGTACTGGGTGAGTGAAAATGCCACGTTGGGTGTTTCGGAACGCTTGCGGACAGTCCCACTGGGGCCGTCGGTGGGATTCCCTATGGGGCCACGAAACGCTGTAGTGTGTGGGCGAAGATGCCAAAGTAGGTGCTTCGGGACGCATGCGGACGGTCCCACTGGTGGTTTCGGCGGAGGTGCCTGTGGGGCCACGAAACGCTAAACTGGGTGTGCGGGACGCATGCGGGCGGCAGCACTGGGACCTTCGGTGGGGCTCCCTGTGGGGCCACGAAACACTTTACTGGGTGTGCGGGCCGCGTACGGGCGGCAGCACTGGGACCTTCGGTGGGGCTCCCTATGGGCCCACGAAACGATGTTTTGGCCATGTGAAGCGCAGGGGGCAGGGGGAGGAGGGCCACGAAACGTTGTACTGGGTGGGGGGGACGCATGCGGGCGGCAGCACTGGGACCTTCGGTGGGGCTCCCTATGGGGCCACGAAGCGATGTACTGGGTGGGTGAAACGCAAGGAAAAGGGGGAGGAGGGACACGAAACGCTGTACTGGGTGCGCTCGAGGCATGCGGACGGCAGCACTGGGACCTTCGGTGGGGCACCCTATGGGGCCACGAAACGATGTACTGGGTGGGTGAAACGCAGGGAGCAGGAGGAGGAGGGCCACGAAACGCTGTACTGGGTGTGCTGGAGGCATGCGGCCGGCAGTACTGGGACTTTCGGTGGGGCTCCCTGTGGGGCCACGAAACGCTGTACTGGGTGGGTGAAACGCAGGGAGCAGGGGGAGGAGGGCCACGAAACGCTGTACTGGGTGCGCTGGAGGCATGCGGCCGGCAGTACTGGGACTTTTGGTGGGGCTCCCTGTGGGGCCACGAAACGCTGTACTGGGTGGGTGAAACGCAGGGAGCAGGGGGAGGAGGGCCACGAAACGCTGTACTGGGTGTGCCGGACGCATGCGGCCGGCAGTACTGGGACTTTCGGTGGGGCTCCCGATGGGGCCACGAAACGATGTACTGGGTATGTGAAACGCAGGGAGGAGGGGGAGGAGGGAGGAGGGGAGGAGGAGGATGAGGGAGGACGCGGGACGCTGTCTCTTCAAAACGAGGACCCAACACCACAGGATGGTTGGGAAAAACAGACCACGTCGCCAGAGGCCTGCCGCCGCGGCGCCCGGGGCGCATCTGAAGGGGACCTGCAGGGGGTGCACATCGACCTGGAATCGGCCACACCTCGCCGACAGATCAGCGATCGGCCACTCGAAGGCGACGCCATACTGACTCACCGCGCTGCGCGGTGTCCCTGCACCGCCTGCGGGCCCGCCAAGGCCTGGGATCGGCCGGCCGAGCGGGGGGGCGCCGCCCGAGGGCGCCGCCTGGACGCAGGTCGCACTCCCGGGCCGCCTGCAGGGCGTGGAGCGCGGCCTCCCAGCGCCTGCCTGTCGGGGGGGGCGTCACCCGCACTGGCCCCTCGGTCCTCCTCGGCTCCTCCTCGAGTCATCCTCGCTCCTTCTCGCTCGTCCTCCTCCTCAACTATCCTCGCTCCTCCTCGCTCGTCCTCCTCCTCGCTTCTCCTCCTCGGCTCGTCCCCTCGCTCGGCCTCGTCCTCGCTCCTCCTTCTCGCTCATCCTCGCTTCTCCTCGCTCGTCCTCCTCGCCGCTCCTGCTTTTCGCTTATCCTCGCTCATCCTCGCTGCTCCTCGCTCCTTCCCACTCCTCACTCCTTACTCCTCACTCCTCCTCCTCCTCCTCCTCCTCCTCCATTCCTCCGCCTGTCCGTCGTCGCTCCGCGCCTAGCTCACCTCCTCTTCCTCTTCCTCCTCCGCTCCTTCCTCCGCCCGCCTCCTCCTCCTCCTCGACTCTGCTCGCCTCCTCCTCCTCCTCTCCTCCTCCTCCTCATCATCATCCAATCATATCATAGCTCCTCCGCCTCCTCCCTCGCTGCTCGCTGCCGCGTCCTCCACCTCCTCCTCCTCTTCCTCCTCGTCCTGGTCCTCCTCGTCCTGGTCCTCCTCCTCCTCCTCCTCCTCCTCCTCCTCCTCCTCCTCCTCCTCCTCCTCCTCCTCCTTTACCTTTTAAATAACTTGCCCCTGTCGCACTCTGAGGCTGGTCGAAAGGGCGGGCGTTTCGCCTGAGAATTCCTCACCATGTATGACCCTGAACATTTGGCAACATCACAGATGGAGGGCGGGTCGTTTTCAAAATGTGGCTCTCGCCTGAGCGCCGCGCACATTCGTTTTAGAAATTAGCAAGAGCTTCACTGAGTGAGGGCGGGTCGTTTTCAAAATGTGGCTCTCGCCTGAGCGTCGCGCACATTCTTTTTAGAACTTTGCAAGATGTTCACAGATTAAGGACGGGTCGTTCTCAAAAAGGGGCTCTCGCGTTAGCGCCGCGAACATTCGTTTTTAGACATTTGCAAGAGCTTCACGGATAGAGGGCTGGTCGTTTTCGAAATGCGGCTCTCGCCTTAACGCCGCTCACATTCGTTTGAAACGTTGCAGAAGCTTCACACAATGACGGCGGCTCGTTTTCAAAATGTGGCTCTCGCCATAGCGCCGCGCACATTATCTTTTTCTTCGTGATAGTTGCAAGAGTTTCGCGGATTCCCATGGTCACCGTACCAAAATGTCGTAGTCGAAATATTCAGGATTATGAGGGCGCTACAGCTACGTTGATTCTCGGTGTTGAAATCCCAAGAATGGCTTTCTAGCAGGGTTCCAGATCGTCAAGACGTAACAGTCAGGTTGATCCGAGGCGCTGGAGTCCCGAAAACAATGTTTTGACATGCTTCAGGGTCTCCAAACGGTTGTTTTCCAACGGGGCATTTCCCTCAGTGGAAGTGAACCGTTGTAGTGGCCTATGAAGAAGGAGCTTGGAGGGAGGGTTCCTCCTCCTCCTCCTCCTCCTCCTCCTCCTCCTCCTCTTCCTCCTCTCCTCCTCGTCGCTC